TTATTTACTATGAAATGTATCCATACAGCGCATCTTGAAGAGTTAATCGGCTCAGCTGTAACTGCTTTTATGGGAGTCCGTTCCATTTAGTCAGTAGTTTTCTTTGTGAGGGGAAGGGAGGGAGGGAGAATTCTTATGATCTTTCATCTTTTCAATCCACGACTGTTTGTGGGACATTGCTGTGCGCAATTGGCTGCCGCGTTCGCCCACAAATATACAGTCAATTCACTTTACAGTATATTCTGTGAAGCGCTTTGGGATGTCTAGAAGACGTGAAAAGCGCTATATCAAATGCAAGGATTATTATTATTATTATTATTATCGTCTCCTGAATCCTGGGTTGAACTAAATCCACACTGATAGAATTTGGGGTTTCCTTTCTGCTGAATGTTTAAGGAATTTATGTAAATTGAGTTTTCGGGGGTGAGAAGGTGAGGTCTCAACCCAAGTCTTATTGGGCAGAACCTTACATAACTCAGCACTAAATCAAAATCTATGCTAACTTGAGGAGGTTGGGCATTTAACCCACGAGGGACATTGTCTGAAAACAACTGTTGTTTAGCCGGGCTCCCTGATGTTAAAGTTAACACAAGCAGCTCTCACTTTGATGAGAGCAAACAATTAAGTCAATTACAACAACAACTCCAAAATTACATTTATAGAGCGCCTTTCCCGTCAGGAGAACGTCCCAAGGTGCTGATTAACTGCAAAACTGGAAGTTGTATTGTTCTGGGCGCTCACCATATGCCATACACACATCTGTGCTACGTTTTACTCCCATCGCTCACAGACATGAAATTTTTATATGGATCTTGAAGGTTATTTTTTAAGAAGAAAAGTCTGTCAGTATGGGGAACCTATTAGCTGTGTATGGTTTGCGCTTAAACCTAACTAACAGATGTTTTGTCCATTGCTGCCCTGCAGTCTGCTGCTCCAGGGAGTAAAAAAATTGCAATAATTTAATTTTGTGCTTTTTATTATTAAAAAAAAGTCAAGTTTAAGCGCCGGCAAAGGAAAATATTTGCCAAGCTGCAGTGAACACAAATGATTTCCGGCTTGTTGAGTCGAAAGGCATTTGTGTTTCCCAGTTGTACTATGCAACTGATTGCTTTGTTTATGTGCTTGACCTCTTCTGTTGCCGTTGACATTCGTAAAAATTATTCGGGGGGTGGGGAGGGAGATGGGGATTTTTTTCTCTGGTAGACTCTGTGTTCAGCAAGGTCCTGTAACTGCAGGCGGTCATTTTTACGTGCCAGTCGCAGCGCTGTATTGGAATGTCAGCCTAAACTGTGTGTTCGAGGTCCCTACGAAGCCACGATCTTCTAACTCAAGAGGCACAAATGCTACCCAACTGAAGTTCGGTGACCAATGACAACAACTTGTGTTTATTCCCCGCTCTTCACGGGGTGGGGGGGGTACGCTTCACAGTGACGGAGCCTGACAACGAGCCAGGAGGAGAGGGAGGGGAGAGGTGACCGTAAACGCGATCAAAAAAGGAATGTCTTTGCGATTGCGTTCTCTTTCCTAGCGGTGTTATCTGCCACTGAGCGCTGCTCATTTCAATAGTATTGGTAGAGGATTGGGGAAACTTTTTGATTTGTTCGTCTGTTTGATTCCACGCTAAGTTACAATAACAATAGTTAAAAGATGATTGACAGATCGAAGGAGGTTTGCGTGTAAAAGCAATAAAAAGCACCTTTTATGAGCTAAGGGTTTTCTTTGTTTAAAAAAAACTGCTCAGTGAGAAAGATCTGTTGTGCGTCAGCCTGGCACAGTTAGTAGCACACTGTTATCTCTGAGTTTAAAAGTTGCGGGGCCACACCTAGAGAAGTGGATAGAGTTCTGTTCACCGCGACATAAGGAAGATGTCGAGAGGCAGAGGAGAGCAGCGAGGATGATCTCCAGTGTCAGAGCAATAAGCAATGATTGCACGGGACTCTTCAATATTGTAAGGAGACATCTAGAGAGGAAGTTATTGAAAAAGTAAACCAGAACATAGGTTTAAAGTTGCTGAGGGCAATTTCAGGACAGACACGAGGAGTGACGTCTTTACCCACAGGCTAATCAACGACTGGAACAGATTGCCGGGAATGGTAGTTGACTCATTCTTTTAAGAAATAGTTTGATGCTGTGATGGGAAGACAGTAGGGTGGGCATTCTGGAAGGATGAGATCAAATGGGCCAAAAGGACCTTCTTTATGCAAAGCCCTCTTGTGATTATATTACTGGCGTTTCCAATAATGAGTGTTTTTGGTCAGGTTGGTGCAAATTCTGCTGAATGGTGTTTGGCAAATCTGCGAGACTGAATAGATGTGGAACTCGTCCAAATTTACGTGTGGGTGAAATCTCTGTTTGTGTTTCGTCAGCATGTATCCAGTTGCATGGCACATTCCCTCGATCAAACTGGCTTGCAGTTTGCAGTCAGATATGTTTGCAAAGCTGTAATCAATGCACATTTTGTTTTGGGACCTATGAGTTCAGGATCAGATCTTTGAGGGTTGTATTGCAAATCAGTTTTTTTGCGAAAGGGATCATAAGTGTAGTTATCACTGAATGTAAGCTTCCAACTTTCAAATACAGCTTCAACCACCAAATGTCCATTATTCTCTCGAATTATAATAATAAAATAATAATAATATTCCTTGCATTTGTTCGTGGGATTTCTTGGAAATCGTGGTGGCCGTATGTTTTGTAGGCAAACGTAGGGTCACTACTCAGCTTGCGGGTGGTGTTGTGAATCCTCAAGGTTTCTTCTCACACTTTCAGTTGCTGTAAATTCCTGGGAAAATGGTCCAGTTTTCCAAAGGGGCGAGTTTGGCATAAGCATAAATGCATAAATGAATGAGGACAGGATATTGATAACATGTCGACTTAAGTGGTACTGACAAATTAAGTCAGGATCGAGTTTTCACGAATTCACTGCAATTTTTAAAAAAACATTTGGAGTATTCTCCGCAATTCAATCACACGTCGGGTTATTTTCTTTCTGTAAAGTGTGGAATTTAATATTAATGAAGAACTGTAGAAAAACAATTACAATACCAGTCTCGTCCAGTAATATTGAATGGGTTTCACAATTGTCCTTTACTTTGGGCCTTCGTCTGCAAGACACTGGTTTAATCTGCTTTTGATTAGCTGCTAAATGGATGTTGATTTAATTTGTCAGTATTTTCTGAGCCTTGAGTTGGCTCCTTCGACCATCTATCTCCCCCCCCCAGTTTAGATGAAATAGCAAGGAATTATTTTTCTTTGATGTGTGCCTCACACAGAACACACATGTTCTGCTGAGGGAAACAAAGTGTGACTCTTAAAAGTTCGTAACTGCAGCAGGCATCAATATTCATCTATTTTATTATTTGTAGCTAGATTTTTAGTGCTGCTTTCACAAGCTTGATAAGCACCAATTGAGTTTTGTGCGGTTGATTTAGTGCTTTAAAGAACTCGCTCCCCGTCCCCGTAAATCAATCAGGGTTTGATAAAGAAAGCAGCTCCATAGCTTAAACAGGTGAATTGCTTATTTTTATTGCATTTTTGTTTGTTGAGCCATTAAGCAGGCATTTAGCATTAACCCTTCAATTATGATTTATTCAGCTTCCAAACTGAGCTGCACTACAATAGGATTACAAAGCTTAATTGAGTGATCAGTTGATTGGATGTCCGCATGGTTGTGTGTTGTGTGTTTGGGTTTGTATTCTCTTGAAAGTCTGGAAAACCCTTGAGGTTGTACCTAATTTCCTTGAAATGAGTGGGTTGACCCAGAATACTCCCAGTTGGCTTGGTAAACCTTTCCGATGTTCCTTATATTTGACAATGGTTTAAGAGACATTGGACCGTGTTAATGTTAGTGCAAATGACCTGCGATTTTTTATTTTGCTTATGGTTGATCTTCACGCTGAAGACTATTACGAACAGTCTTTGTATGGTGATGGACAATTCTTCCTATAACTCAATACGGAAGCTGAGAAGTAAGGCAATCGACCAAATTCTCACCCGTTCTCCGGCCTGCTTATGTAGTGTCATTGGCAGGGAGCGTAGAGGGTGGGGGCGAGGAGAGAGAAAGAGTCGGGTCAGCAAAATATATTACTGATCGCAGCTCCGAGCTTTCGGCAACTCATTTGTACTGTGATTTTGAAATTTCCGCTTTTTAAGACTTAAACATTGCAACTTAGGTAGGATATTTTCTGTACTTTGTCAAATCTGTTTGTTTGACCATAGTAGATTCCTTCTGGAATGGGTTTTAGTCACGTCGATGTGGCTTCGGGAATTAGTCGCTTTTAATATGTAAATGGATCTGTTACTTGAATCCCCATTCAAGAAAACTCCTGCCCACCCTCCACCCTCCCTTCCTGATCCCAAACACCAGCTCAGGTGTGGATTCCTGACTGTCCAGCGCCTTAGGACGTCCTCATGACGTGAAAGGCCCTATACAAATGCAAGCGGTTGTCGTTGTCTTCTAAAGTTGCTGTGCAGCGTGGAAATCTGCATCAGGTGGTGACGTAGATACAAACTGAAGCCACATTTTGCTGAAGTTTTAAGTGGGAGTTGCTGACGTTAACTGCATCTGCGATGAGCTGGCTGCAGTAAATTCAGACGATAACACCTTCTGGTGTGTTGCGTTGAATGGCAAACCATTTGAGCCAGAAAATCTAAAACAGTTTCCTTTTAAAAATAAAACTGCACATCATGGACTGTATCCAACCCATAAATTTCCTGAGGAAAGATTCTACTTGGTTTTTCACACACACAGACACCCAGACATGCACCTCCCCCTGTGTAAATTCAGCAGAACAACTTGCTAACCCTTCTTTTGAAAATTTTAACTCATCTACAAAAATATTTCGGAAACTCTGTGACGCAGAAGTCTTTAAGACGATTCAGTGGGGTGCAGATTATCAATGACCCTTGCTACTAATGGGACGATTTGTGTATTTCTGACGTGTTGGCTTTCTGCCTGCAGTAACACCTGCTGTGATTCATTGCCTCTTACTCTTCATTCCTAGACAGAGTATGAAGTTACACCAGATGAAAAACGTGCAGAGAAAGGACAAGAGATGATCAGCAAATACCTCACGCCAGAGGTAAGGATTGAGCATCAAGGGTTGACAGACCTATTCTGCACATTGCTGCTTTGTTCTGCATGTGTGATTTTTGTTTTAAGGATGAGTACCTCCTCACTTGGTGATAGAATAGTGCCTTTGAGCTCCCTACCACTCAAAACCCATCAACTTGTACTTTTCTGCTGGGCAGCCAGACAAGGCCTATGTTGGAACATGACATTTGACTTTTCGGTGAGGATTCATGTGAGTTAATGTTCATTAATAAAGACGTACTTACAGATTTGTTGCTTCTATACAGTAGTGCATAATAGTTTGGGGGCTGCCCTGGATAATTCTCTAAACACCAATGTGCTACCCAACATGGCAACATTGGAGTACAGTGGATCTGTAGGATATAATTCTAGATTTGAGGTGGATCATCAACACCTTCATCATTAAACTGGGTAACTTGGCTTTAGGATATTGACGAAAGGGTATTGCAATAGGTGCAGAATGGGATGAACGAATGCAATAAGACATGGTGATTTCTGTGTTGCTGGGGGAAGGTTGGGGTGGCCGGGGGGGGGGGGGGGGGGAAGGGTGAGAGGCAATATGTGGAGGGAGGCTGAATTGGGGGTCTTATTTGTAAGGGATCAACAAGCGGAGAATTTTCTCCATGGCCTCGGGTTTTGAGTTGTCTGTGAAAGGAGCGGTGTTGATAGCTGTTTCGTGTTCCTTGCGTGAGTCCTAAATCCCGAAACGTGCTTTGGGTCTGGTTTCTGTGAGAGCAAGCAAGAGAGGGAACAGCTAGCCTGGATGTTGCAAGAGACCAAAGGAAATTTTTGCATTTCTAATCTGGATTACATGGCTGTTCATCTGCATACATGAATAAACATTACATTCTTATCAAACTTCCTAATCAACTCTTACTCAGTCAGGGTTTATAAGCAGAGCGTTGCCCTTGAATGTTATTGATTGGGAAACCTGTTTCATGGATATCATTCATACATTGAGGTGCCAAACTGAGTTACTGGCTTTTTACCGTATGGGAAAAGCGAGCTCAAATCAAAGCGTAATTGTTTACTGAAATGGTTTATTCTGAGAACCGTGCACATATTCATAAAGTCCATTCAAATTAGTCACCAATGAAGAACGGTAGCAACTGAGACCAACTCTGTTAAACTGGCGTCATTGACTAGCATGTAAAATCCAGTTCGATTTGTATGTTCACTAAATAAATCTCCAATTTAGATCCCTGCACAAAGCAGATTTGTTCTGGCAGGCAAAGCAGATTTTGATTAGGCTGACGTCAGCCACATTATGAAAATGGACTGCCTTTTGCATTATATCCATTGCACGTGCTTCAAACCTTTTGTTTTAATAGAAGTAAAAAAAAAACTGGGCACCGGGTCACCCAGCCTTTTGCCAAAACGCTCTTCAGAAATATTGTACGCAATTTCCTTTGCTTCTGAGGCCATTCCAAACGCCAAGTCTACACACTTAAAGTAAGCTGGTGTATAAGAATATGGAGCACGTATAAACAGTGAGTTAATTTGGGTATTTTTTTAATAAAATTTATTTCCCAATAGAGATTCCCTGACTGTGTGTTTTCGCCCACAAAACACACAGTCACTTCACTTTACAGTATATCCTGTGAAGCGCTTTGAGACATCTTGAAGATTTGATAAAGCATTCACCTTCTCATCAACCTTCCCCACCACTATTACATGAGGTGTAACCGCCAGTGAGGTACACGCTACTTTCACCAAAGAGCAAGTGTAAACCGACTTTGACACATAGAACGTTTGATTAAATTAAATTGCTGCACAATCAGTATTTTTTAGGCCTGTTTTAAACGTTGCTATTTTTGCATTCCGAGCTGTTCCTGCAAGCCTTGGTTTATTTGTGACATGAGAATTTGCCTTCCAGTTCGCCTATCACCATCCTGGCAGTCACTTAACATGTCATGTCCCAAACTATATATGTTACCCCATAACACATCCTGAACATTTAGTATAGGCGACTTCCCTTTGCTCCCCTCTCTCCAGCCTCAACATGTTTCCAGTGGGAGAAAGGGGGGAAATAATTAACCAACATTGTAATGAGACTGAATGAGATTGAAGCGTAAGATACAACCTCACACAATGGCTGGGTTTCTCTTATTAGAAAGGGTGTGAACTTCCAGTTTCAGTTTGAATCTCCTTTTCAGTGGATTTCTGGATACTTAAAACTGGAACCGGTTTCATGACCAGTGGGAGAAATCTAAAATATTACACCTCCACATGATTATTATTTTAGGGAGCTATAAACCACAGAATCACTGATGCACGATTAGATAGATAGGTTAAAAAAGCACATAATACTCTGCTTCTTGATGCATTGATTGTCAGCGCTGCTGTCACTTTATTTGCCAGCCGATGAATTGACAATAACACCATTTATCTCCAGTAAAGATGGATCTTTCTGCGAAAAAAAATGTTCCAGACAAAATATTTTGAAATAAAATCTCTTTAAAGTGCCCCGGCTACTCTTTTTTTTAAAAAGGGAGAGAGCAATACAGCAATTTCATAGCAGATTGACTGTTTTTGTTGCCCATTTACAGGAAATTATGTGACAAGAGAGAAAAAATCTGTTAGCGTAAGCCAATCCCACCTCCAATAGCTTGGGCCTATGACAGTTATTTATGGGTTGGGCCATGGCTATGAATATTGTCACACTTGAATCACTGAAGAGGAGAGGAGACGAGAAACGACAACAGCATTGAAGCCAAAACCAATCCTGTCCTTATCTGATGTCCACGAGCAGCCGATGAATTGACAATATCAATCAGTACCGGAAACTATGACTAACACAGGGTTTCCGAGACAGGTTGTAGCACCCTGAGTATGTGCTGCTGCTCAGCACACATTCAGATCAAGCATGTGAACTTTACCCACTGAACCATTAGCAGCAAAGGGTGCGTTAGATATTCCTAATCATAATAATTCTTGTATTTGATATAGCACCTTATCACGTCGTCAGTCTCCCAGCACACACTGTCAAGTGCAGTGACTACATATTTTGTAGGCGAAAGTGACAGACAATTTTGCACAGAGCAATGTCCAATTTTCAGTGAATGACCAATTTATCTGTTAGATTGTGTGCCAGGATCCCTTCTCTCTTAACGTTCACCTGAACATGTAAACGAGACCTTGGTTTAATGTCTCATCCAAAGGATGGCACTTCCAACAGCGCCTCTGACACCCTGCATTGCCCTGGAGTGTCAGTCTAGAGAAAGTAGAATATTACATGTGGATTTTTTTTCCCCCACGATATTCCCTTTACCTCAGGCCAGGTGATTTCTAGATTAAATCTACTGCAAACCATAGAATTATTTTTTTTCATCAGTAGAAATGGTTCTATGTGGTGCTGTGGACCCAAATTTGATGCCGTCCATTTCCAAAGAGAAATATGATAACAATAATCCTTGCATTTGATACAGCGCCTGATCACGTCTTCGTGACGTCTCAAAGCGCTTCACAGGATATACTGTAAAGTTAATTGACTGTGAATTTTGAGGGCAAAACGCGGCAGCCAATTGTGCACAGCAGCGTCTCTCAAACAGTCGTGGGTTGAGTGACCACATTATAGCGCGTGTTCGCTTGTTTGACCTGGTCTTGACGTCACAAGAAAGACCCACATTCCGCCTTTCATGAATGGCCCGTCTGTGTAAAGTCAGAGTGACCCACAGGCAAAATTGAGAAATAGAAAACCATATTCACAGATTTTGTTTTAATTCTATGTTTTGTTCGAAACAAGAAGGAGCTGCAACGGGAACTGGAATTTAAGATAAAAATCCACAGCTATTAGACGATCCGTGTACTTGTGGGCGCCCTTAATGTTGCAAGTGTTTAGGGTTAAAATAACCTGAATATTTTATATTGGAAAGTAATGTTTTAATCCTTGTGAACCTCCTCTCCATTATTCCAAAAGATCTCTATGGAATGTTGTTCCTTCAAATATAAAAAGGAACATCTGTTGAAGTTTCCTGTTACAATACAGACGTATATTTGCTGAGAACAGCTGGACTATGCAGAGTGGCAAATATTTCTTTTGGATACGAAATGTTTAAAGTTAAAATATTAGGGTCACCCAAAGTAATATTTTCCTTCAATCCGTTAAAGGGGCTTTGCTTATTTATTTTTTGCACTGAATACTTTTCCCTCCCGGTTTTTATTTTGTCGATTTCGAATTCGACACAATCCCGTGGCCGCCTCAAATGTGGACCAAGTAGAAATGGAGGTGGATTTAGACCATTATTGGGTGAGTTGGGGGTGAATGATCGAATGGCTGGTTTAGTATTCGAAACGAACGAGGACTTTTCGTGTCGTTGTGGGATTCATTTGGGACCGAATATTCCAAACGCTGTCAGGGTTGTAAATTGACCCCACGCTATCTCTGATCAATACATCCGATCTAGACCAGTCGAGATTGGTGAATGAGTGCAAATCTGCTGTGCACAATTGGCAGCCCCGTTTCCCCCACAGAATACACAGTCACTACATGTTACGTAATATTCTGTGAAGCGCTTTGAAACGACGTGATAAAGCGCTACATCAAATGCAAGGATTATTATTATTATTAAATATGCACGTTTTCCTGAAACTTGCTGATTTTTCCTCGAAGCAACCCCTGAAAAAAGAGCTGGCCAATACACCTAACTCCTCCTCTCCCTATCTCTCTGTACCGTAACCTTGATTGCTTGCATGGCAGGACTTTTGCCTTGGGGTGTGTGACGTGCTAAAAGAACCTGATATAATAAGGGAAATGCCTCACAGGTTTCCATCAGTAAGAGCTTGTCGTGTGGAGGCCAAGGAGGCTAGGAAAGTCACTGCTGGGTGTATGAGCCAACTCAGGGAATAATCAGGGACATTTTTCCCCCCAAACCTGCTTGGCTTGTAAACCCATCTTAGAGTAAACACACAGGTTTCCGGAGCTGGTAGAATGGACATTGGATTTGTGCGCAAGGTCGACCTTAATCTGTCCGAACACTAAATACAGCA